TCACAAGACAATTAATTAATCCATTGTCTTTATAATAAAAACCTTAAACTAACCAATATATCCTGATAGCGTATATACCTGAACTGAAAAAAAAAACTACAATGAAAATGTAAAAATTAGTGTATTTTACTAAGTAGAAAATAGATAACAAACATATGGATGATTTCTTCTTACTTTTTCTAGAGTCTCAAACTTCTTTCTTTCACCATTCACATCATAAATATGCAACCAAACCCATTTCTATAGCTAACATCATGTTTTCCTTTGTTAATTTGATCTCTAAATACAGGCCATGATCACTGTAGTCAAAGACAGACGCATGATCACTATGGTCGAAGATATCCTGTAAAAGATAATGAATTAGTAATAAGCTTGCATACAAAAATAGTATCACAATTTCAAATTAAATCAATCATGCAGGATTAGGGGGTGGGGGGACATTATCTGTTTTCAATGAATTGAAGAATTGTTTGTATGTCTCATTCCACTTTCTGACTCGTACTTCAATTATCTTAATAGTTGTTTTCATTAAAGAGAAATCGTAAATTAGTAATGATAAAGTCAAAATCTTAGTGATAACCTGATGAACTTATGTGGTACTGATCGTGTAACGCCCCTTTCCTAGATCTCCGAAGATAACCGGAGAAACTGGTGTGGTCATCTAACCTCATTCGGTTAAACGCTAGGTTTGGTCTATTGGTGAGCAATAGGTCTGCCAGGAACAAAAACGTTTGTGTAACAACAACAACTTTTGATAGAGCGATCCAAGCTATCCTCAAAAGATAAAAGGAAAGAGCAAGGATGGGTAGTTGGGATTATTTAATGAAGACCAGTCTTAGAGAGACTTGTATATCACTTCCAAACATAATATGAAATAACATATAAAAAATCTAAACCTAAAACAAGCTCATGGAAAGAATATAAAGAAATTAATAACTAACTATTTCCAATTAAACAATCAATCAGGGTTTTTTTAACAACTCCATTTCCATTTTTCACCATCAATCATCCATTAACCTCAGTAATAATAATCCATGGTAATGATAATCCATGGTAATGATAGTCCATGATCCTCAATCGTCCATTCACCATTCCTCATTTTCAACTCAATTTTCAAGCAAGAGCAAAATGCTCTACACATCTTGCACGTCTGATACCACCTACAAATACATGACCTGACATATCAGCACATCAAAGCTCACGATTATGATCACATAGATATCCATGAGGGTTCGCCATAACCTTCCAGACGTTGAGAACTGATGATCCCTATAGGCATCCCTCAGCCCAGCAAGAAAGCCTGCACCACAGTAGTTACCTGTGATAAGCAATACCGGTTTATTCCTAATACAAGCAATACCAGTTTCTTCCTACCAAAGAGACATTCATCTAGGTTCAAGACTCGCAAGCAAGAAAATAGCAACTTGTAACACTAAATATCAAACATCACAATACCAACCATCATTCATCAATTATTTTTCTATCAACCTAACTCATTAAACATCATTATCAATTCCTAACATCACAACTACACAACCTATCAATCAGTCTATTAGTTTTGGTTTAAGAATAAAGTAATTACATTATTATAACATAATATGAAGGATAATGATATGCAACAGCCATCACCTTTGCTTGCTCTTGCGGAGATTAAAGTACTAGGATTATTTCAAGAAGTCAAATTCTATGGTAATATCGTGCGAATAGTTACAGTTGGAATTTGAGAAGTTGTTAGAATAATCATCGAGTTCTTATAAGCCATCGTAAAGAAAATATCGTCTCAGAGTTAAAACAAATGTTTTAGGTCAAAAATAGAAAGAAAGTGCAGTAGAATAATGATGTGATTCAAAAAAGGGAATAAAAGAGAAATAAAGTATGAAGGTTAAAAAAAAATAAAAAATAAACAAGAAGCACAATAGAATAATGAGATTTCTCAGCAGAATTTGATATCTTTTAGAGCATCTCTATCGGTAAATATTCAATGGATATCTCAACAATATACAAAAGAAAAAAAAATAGGAGACGTACAGAAATAGTAGCGCAGCCAAACGTAACAAGTTTAATGTTCGTTGACTCACAAAGAATAGCCGAAAAAAAAAAGAACGAAGCTCGAAAATCATTGATTCCTCGGAATATAAAGAAGCTTAACAGCTCTGATTCTTATTCAATATATAAAAAAAACTGTAGATCCTTACAAACAAGGTTGACCTTAAATATAAAATAAAGTTAAAACCCTAAAGTTTATGAAAAAAGGAAATAGTTTATCGCAACTTAATGCCCAAGAAATATGAAAACCCAAAATAAAAGAAAGCTCCTACTTTGAATAATAATAAACGAAATAAAATATATAGATAAGGTGATGATGCGCTGCATCAGGTTTCCCCGGGTTGGAAAAGATTTGTCCCTAAATCTGGAATGGTATTGTCGCCGCGAAACTTGGACAGGTACTAGACATTAAAGACATCTGCAGTCTTGATGTGAGGTGGAAGGTGAAGACGGTAAGCATTATTGTTGATACGCTCCACAACTTCAACCACGTTAACTTATATGGTTGTGGATGATCTTCTCGTCGCAATCCCAACTTACGACACGAGTTTTCGGAAACCACATTTTGGCAACTTCCCGAATCAATCACGAATTGGCAGATTTTGCTCTTAATCATGCAAGTCGACTGAAAGATGTTTGTACGCAGCCATGGCTCCTCACAGGCTATCGGAGCAAGACAAGCTCGAGCCACTAACATCAGCCCAAGATCACTAGAGGTACGCTCCTCCGGTAATTCATCTTCATCCTCCTCATGACCACGATCACCCTCTTCGTCCACATCCCACTTGACGTCCTCCACAAACAAACCACGCTTACTATACTTTGGACATGGCGTTTGGATATGGCACTGCTCTCCACATGAAAACAGCGCAATCCGTTTGGCCGTCTCGATCGACGCAGCGCAGGTGTGTCCCTCGACACCACTGTTGTTTGCTGTTCTTGGGACCCCAGATCATCACCATCACGAGTATTGATTGCGAGATGTCCCCCATCACTGGGAACTCCAATGGACCCCCTGTTCCGTGCCGCCACACTCCACAAAGATCCTGATTTGAACTGTTGCTCAAACGCCAATGCTCGTCGATGTGCCTCTACATTTGAAGTGGGGTCAAATTCCACCAAAGCATTCTGAATTTGGGGACGTAACCCTCTGATAAAACGGGAGACCAACTGAATTTCATTGTCAAAGATCTCATTCCTCGTAATAAGCAGAAAAAATTCATCTGCGTATTCATCAAATGTGTGAGACCATTATCGTAAATTCTGCAGCTTTGTGTACATGGTGGGATCATAATTCTGCGGTAGAAACACCTGCTTCAAGTGCTTCTGCGGTAGAAACGAGCTCGTGTCGTCTTCAGCTGCATCCACCAAGACGCCGCATGACCACAAAATTTAGTAGCCACCAACGCTACTTGTCGCTCCACTGGTACTTGCTTAAACTCCAACAGCTCCTCAACTGGTACAAACCAATCCAACAGCTCGTCTCCATGCACAAACACTCCCATGGAACTCGGGGATCTCAAGTCGAAAGCCTGCTTCCCACCTCTTGTCATCGCGTTCACACTCACATGAATCATCTCGATTGTGATCACGGTGATGATGACCTCGAGCAAAAGGGTTTCTAAAACTCTCCACTGAACCCTCGTCATCCGTCTCTGACTAGTGTTGACGCTGGTGCAAAACAGTTTCAGCTAGTTCATGGATCATATTAGTTATCGTCGCCTGGATATTCTCTTGCATCGCCAAAAGAATCTTTCAAAGTTCTGCCCAATCCAAGGACTGATCATTGGTACGTCTCTCCTGACCTTGTTTGCTGTTACAGGTAGAAGCCATGATTTTTAGAAAAAAAAAAATTGGACAGGAAAGTCGAAATCTCTGATACCAAAATTGGTGCAGCCAAACGTAACAAGTTCAAAGTTCGTTGATTCAAAGAATAGTCGAACAAAGAACAAAGCTCGAAAATCGATGATTCCTTGGAATAGCTGAGATTCAAGAAAGAAGCTTAACAACTCTTTGTTCAATTAAAAAACTGCTGATCTTTACAAACAAGGTTGGCTTTAAATACGAAATAAAGTTAAAACCCTAAGGCTTATGGAAAAAAAAAATAGTTTATTGCAACTTAAAACCCAAAAACTATGAAAACCCAAAATAAATAAAAAAAACCCAACGTTAAATAATAATAAACAAAATAAAATAGATAGATGGGTGATGATGCGCTGTATCAAATAGTAAGTATCTCAAATGAGAATAAATATCTTTGATAAACTCTCATGTCAGTGTATAAATGGTTTAACTTTTTTTTATGAATTATATTTTATTTGAATAATTTAATTTTATTAAAATAATAATAAGTTTTAGTTTATGTACTTAGTTGAGAAACTATAGTGATGGAGATGCTCTTAGATCAGGTTTTAAAACTCTGATACCATGTCAAAAAGCTTTTAAAAGTTTTAAAAGAGTTTATTAATGATGTCGATGTTGAAACCTATATACAAGTTACAATAAACCAATATCATATAATATAATATACGTATTAATGAGCTACACAACATGGTAAGGCCTAAATATGGCCCAGTAAACCACCTGACACAAAGAACAAAGCTGTGGAAGCAGGAAATGATGACCAGATTAACTGATTAAGCTCTCGGAAAGTTAATTAATGAGCAGGTCGTTGTAATGTGGGAATGAGCTCGGAACCCGCTCATTAAGTCGGAAGGTTATGATTAATGATTATACATACTTGTGTCCAAACGTTTTGAAATTTGTTTTTTTTTTATATAAATTATTAATTAATTATAAAAATTTCAATAATGCATGGTTTGTATTGGTCTTATTTTCCAAATATATGGACCCGGATGATAACTGAAAAAGAACATAAGCACCTATTAATAAATAAATAAAAGTTTTCTAGGGTTATCCGAGGTATATATTTGGTGCTGAAGTTAAGTTGTTTGTCGCTTGCGCAGACATTGGCTCTGATTGTTTGACAAAAGCTCTGTGGATTTTTTTAGGGTTTCAACGTTCCAACAATGGTTATTTCCTCGATCCCTGAAATTTTTATCCTCCTGATTACATTTTCGAACGTTGTGTTTGTAATTCTTTCCCAGTGGGAATCTGTAGGCGGATACGGAGCCAGAAGTTTCTGCTGCGGCTGGAATTGTTAAGAAGAGAACGTTCAAGAAGTTTTCTTTCAGAGGAGTCGATCTCGATGCTCTTCTCGACATGTCTACAGATGATCTTGTCAAGCTCTTCAGTTCTCGTGTTCGCAGAAGGTATTAGAGTCTTTTTGAAGCACACAAGCTTTTGTTTCGATTTTGAGACTGATCTGTTTTCGTTTTTGTAATTTTTCTTTATAGATTCTCTAGAGGATTGACCAGGAAGCCTATGGCTTTGATCAAGAAGCTGCGCAAAGCGGTAAAACCCTAAATTTCTCTAATTACTAATTAGATCTTCGTTTGAATTGTCACATTTACAAATGTCCAAATCTGATTCTAGGAAGATGTTTTCTCAGACCGTGTATCTTCTGTTCTCATGTTAAGATATTTTGATGATCAAATTACATTTTTTCTTTTGGCCAATGTGATTGATTGCTGAACCGGATTTATATAATTGCTAATATCATTCTTAGTTAAAGATTATTGTCATTTGCATCTAATGTCGTTATTGTGTATTCATCTTTCTAGACAATTGTTTTTCTTGTTCTTTGCCAACAAATGGCTTTAAACAATAGAAGATTATGCCTACCATAACGTCATCTCTTTAGTTTAGTTATCAAGACCCCAATTTCTGCAAATATTGTTATTGTACATCCATCTCTATGCATATATATTATTGCTTCTCTGTACAATCTTTTGCTCGTAATTTACAATCAAATAGCTTTAATCACTATAAACATGTGACTTTTCTATGTCTTGAGCAGAAGAGAGATGCACCAGCTGGTGAGAAGCCAGAACCAGTGAGAACCCACTTGAGAAACATGATCATTGTGCCTGAAATGATTGGGAGCATCATCGGTGTTTACAATGGAAAGACTTTCAACCAAGTCGAGATCAAACCAGAAATGATTGGGCATTACTTGGCTGAGTTCTCAATCTCATATAAACCGGTTAAGCATGGTAGGCCTGGTGTAGGTGCTACCAACTCTTCCAGGTTTATCCCTCTCAAGTGAATAAACTCTTATTCAGAGTCTTCTGTTCTGCTCAACACCAAAATTGTGTTTTTTTATTTCTTTTTTCTTTGTTTTTGGAACATTTTTGTCTTCATTTCTTTGTTTTCTTACGCTGGTTTAGATTTTGTCTATCATGCGTTTAAATAATAGAGAACATTTTTAGAAATAAACAATTAGCTCTAATCATCATTTGTAAATTAGATTAAGACCCCATGATAAGAGAGTAAAAACTAAAATATTTGGCTAGATAATTGCTTGGGAACATGGGTATTGAATCCCTCTTGGAACTGAGAGAAGTAGCTTATGAGGAGGAGTCTCAAGAGTTCTTGGCCTCTCTTGAAGTTGATATGTACATGCCATCTTATAGATTAAGACTCGCCTTTAGTTATACAAAATTGTGTGTTTGTTAAGTACAATTTGAAGAACCTCACAAACAGCATATGTACTTATTCTACATTAGATATATGAAATACGATGTTTATGATATGTAAGTGTAGTATAGGAATTCTACCGTTTTTTCAATCTTCTACGAAGTTTAGAATAGGTATTTTACCATTTTCTCTATGTTTTACGTAGTTTAGAATATATATTCTACCGTTTTCTCCATATTTGGAGTTTTAGAATATGTCTTCTGCATAGTTAAAAGAATCCAAAATATGAAATGCAAAATTGAAATTTGTAACCTGAACTTGATAACCCTACGGCCTACACATACTTGATAAAACGGAATCGGTAAGATGATGAGGAGGATAACGAACCCAAAAGGAACAAGGAAGAAGAATCAATTGCACAGATTTAATTTCGTTGATTTCGTTAACTTGAACAGTGTGAGTAAAGTAAATTGGCCAATATACTATATATATAACCTATCTATCCGTAAAGACGACCAGAACCCCTCTTCCAATATGCATTTCCCCGCATGTGTAGATGATCAGCATCAATGCCTCCGAACTATGTAAATTTGCACCCTCATGAACATCAACATTCTCAGCACCTTCTTTACCAAGGGACGTCTTACTTCCAACAGCATGTACCTCAAAGAAGAGCACAAATCGTCTAGCATCATCACCACCAAACCATTGGTGATTTTGATTCTTCGGATGCTTTCTTCTTGAACGAGTGTAAAATTCGTCCACCTCTCCCTCAAAGGATCGATTTCGAAATCAAGCAACAGATCATCCAACGGTGAAACAAAACTAATTCCATAGTTTGTCCACGGAGCATCATGTTGACCATATCGACACATTTTGAGGAAATTTTAGGCACAACGCGTATTACTGGAGTTTCTTGCCAATTACATCATGTGCAAGTTGTTCACATTCTCTCTTAGTGACAAAGCACTTAAGATGTAGTATGAAATATAAACCATAATCATGTTGTAATAATAATCATCCATTACAAAATAAACAATCTCGACAATGCAAATCTTGAGTCCTCTCCTTAGTACAATTTCATTACAAATAAAAAATAAACTGGAGTCTCAAAGTAATCTAATCATACTGTAACTTCACATATTTTCGGTAACTTCCTGAAGACAATCTACGAAATGAGTGATGTTGAGTTGCGCTGCTCTCCTGGTGTCTATCGGCTCTTTAGACCTGCCATTTCTTTGTGCTGCTGTCTCGATAAGAGTATAAAGCAGCTTAACTGGAATCTAGAACAAAATGGAATGTAATCGTCCGAAAATGTTTTTTATGATGATTAAGAGCTTTTTATTAATCAGTTCTAAAATTCTGATTTAAGGGTAGTAATCATAGATATTGATCAATACACATATATCATTAAGGGCTTTGGCAGCTTCGTGAAAACGTGCTTAGTTGCTCCAGCACTTGAACCATGGAACATGTTATAAACTATAGTTTTTTTTTTGTCAAGGATCGAAAAAGTAAGTTGCAAAGAAAACAGATTACGTTCTTGGGATCCTTTGTCCTCAGTACTGGAACATAGTACGCAAAACAGTTTTAAGGAATCTTGCATCAGTTGTTGTCCAAAGTACAAGAAGTTTGTTACCCTGTCAACCAAAAAAAAAAAAAAAACTCCTCCAAACTATTACCTGATCAATGAACTTCGTCCTGAGTTGGATTGAAAGGAGCAAAGCATCAATCTGAACAGAAATAATTTTTAATGTTGAACCGTAGGTGCGCACGGATCAAACAAGTTAATCTTTTTTGGGAGTTCGGAGACTTTCTGTTAAACAAAGCTTGAATCGATAAGAACGAGGTCGCCGAGGTTGGCGAATTGAATTAAACTTTATCGACAAATGGTAGAGCGTGGTGGTGAGATCATCGAAGTGGTGGTGAGCTAACGAGGTAGTGGTGGGTTCGATTCGACGAGATGGTGATGAGTCGACGAGGTACATGAAGAGGTGGTGGTGAGTCGACGAGGTGGTGGTGAGTCGACGAGGTACATGAAGAGGTGGTGGTGGGTCGACGAGGTCAACATATCTTTTCCTCCAAGCTCAACTTATCCCTTCCCATGGTTTTAATTAACGTCATGATTCCACGTTGCTTGCCATGCACGTCGTTTATGCTATGAGTATTTGATACACAATTATGGCGATGCGTTGATGTTCATGCTCGTCTTCTTCATGTTAATGTTCATCAAAGTATGGTCGTCATCGAGGTAAGATTGCTCATCGGCGAAGTGCTCTCATCATCGATGTGAACTCGTCGTCGAGGTGAATGTTCTTGTCCCTTTTTTTCTGCCTCCTTCTTCATCTTCTCCTCTCTTCTATTTATAACTAGCAAGCAGGTAACGTGATGTCGGTGGTTTAGCTTCATGGGCTTTGCTGATGGGCCAAATTGCTAAGCTAATATTGTCGGATTTTATGGGCCTTATCGATTTGGGTTGGCCTAAATAAGGGGTGCTAACCCACCTCTAACATTTTATACATAGATGTTCAAGGATCCTCGCAAGAAAACGCATCAACAAAATGCAATATACCTCTTCGGCTTTAGTACCTTTCTTTACAAATTCCAACTCAAGTGCCAGCAAAGTGAGGTTAAAATTCTCAGGAGGAACGAATCTACAAGTCCTTAGAGATACAACATAGCCTTTACTTTAAGACACACACCGTGTGAGAAATGATAAATACCTGTTGACAGTTACAATGTAATCTTCTAGATATAGGGATAGAACTAGAGATCGGTTGATGAAACTAGAATTTAAGAATACTATTTTCAGTGTTTTATTAAAATTTCTTCAGTAAATCTCCTTTTTATTATATCATCAAAAATTGAATACAAAACCTAAACGGTTAAGTAATAACAAATTCTAAAGCCCTAAAACATATAAATTATAGAAAAATTTTAATTGATTAAATAAAATATAATAGTGAAGATATTTTAAATATCTAGCTGCACAAAATAGTATCTAGTTGTTGCACAGGTTTCGCTGGCCGAAAAATATTTGTCTTTCAATCTTTAAGATGTGCTTCATCAGGTCTTGCTGACCAATAAAGATTCATCCTCGAAGCTTCAATCAATTTTCCACAACTGTTTGGTTTCTTCTTCTTGATGATATCTCGTTTATTCATAAACCAGATCTTGCATGGAACCTTCACATACTAATTGTTGGTGGTACGTTCCGCTACCTGGGTCGGACCAGTTAAAAACAGAAACCGGCCCAATTAATTCCGGTTTACGACAGTTTAAACCGAAATAGGTTTGGCCTGACAGCACGGCCCATTAGCGGACAGGCTCAACAACAAGAGGCGGTGAAAGTTAGTGGGGAAACCCTAAACCTTCTCTTCATTAATGTACTATAAATAAAGGGTTTGTTACTGTAGAAGGGATCTTTTTGGGACCCGGAGACATAGAGACCTCAGTATTATTGTACCTAGTTTGTGGAGTGACCTCCGAACTGAACGAATTGTAAAACCGAACTCAATTAATTGAAATAAAAACAATCTTCCGAATTCGAATTACCGAACCGACCCCAAATAGTTGAAATCCACAATCAACAATTGGCGCCCACCGTGGGGCCGATTTGGTAATCGACCTCGAAGACATGACAACTGACGAGAGACAACCGACCTCGGTCCAGGTCGGGAGTCATGTGACAATCTGTGAGGACAACCCCACCCAGGTCGGAGGACATACAGGAGAAGATGTCCAAAGCCCTGTGCGACCTCAACCCAATGTACAACAGGCTGGTGCGGAACCGAGCTCGAGCGCCGAAGTCTGCCATGCGACGACAACTGCCTTCGATCCAACCGCAGTAATGAACGCTTTCGCCGCTCAGATGCATGAACTGGTCCGAAGCAACGATGTCAAATTCGCGACTCTTACCGCGCAGATCTCAAGCTTGCAACAGGAGAGTCCGCTTAGACGACGAAACCTCATCAGCGACTTCTAGGGAGAGCGAGACCCGCAGCACACAGCAGCACGGTCGGTAATACAGCAACAGTTCGAAAGCCCATCCCAACAAGTACATGCCCAGCTGACTGCACGCGACCTAGAATCGAGCGGATGCAGGCCCAACTGCGAGAGATCAGTTCCAAATTCCACCAAGCCACCAGTTCGGCACCGGAAATCGATCGCGTAATCCAGGAAGCACAGAAAACACTGTTCACTTCCCGAATCACCAACGTTCCTGTCCCTAACCTAGAGAAGTTCAAACTGCGTTCTCATGAGAGAAACTCGGACCCCAGACATTTCTTTACGTCGTTCGGGATCGTAATCAATCGACTCAAGTTCAGCTCGGCCGAACAGAAAGACGCGATTCAATGCCAATTGTTCGTCGAACACCTTGAAGGCATCGCACTAGATTGGTTCTCAAGATTGGAAGCTGACTCCATTGACAACTACAAAGAGCTATCGACCAAGTTTGCAAAGCATTTTTCAATGTTTATCGGACAGAAAAGCCGTAACTCTGAGTTGTGGGAAATATCAGAAGGCGAAACCGAGTCCCTCCAAGATTCCATGGCACGGTTCAAGCAAATTGTGGCACACTGTACGGTGGACGACGAAGCCGCCCTCGAAGCGCTATACCAGAAAACGTGGTACAAATCCCCCTTTCATAAAGAACTTCGCAGGAATAGACCACTTACTCTTGAGGACGC